AGAAGTGGTAATGGAATAAATAATGATATTTAGGTTCCTTCAAAGGACTGAAAGAAAGATGGTGGAAAACTCAGAAAACAAATAAACACACAAAAAAACACTTCAGAAGAATTTAGGAAAACACTACAAGAATAAACAGATAAAATAAATACAAATTTTGAAACAACACAAAAGCTGCAAATAGAGATCCAGAAGATTAATGCTAATATCTCAGAAATGGACAATACACAGGAAGGGCAAAGGCATAGATTTGAATCAATGGAAGCCCAAATTAGTGATTACCTTGAAGATAAAGCTCTCAATACCAGTAAGCTAGAAGAACAATCTGAAAAAAGAATGAAAGAATCAGAAGAAAGCCTGAGATTTATGTTGGACACCATGAAGAGAAATAACTTACAGATGATCAGAATCCCAGAACAGGGGAAGACAATAAAAAGCACAGAGAAAATTGTCAAAGCGTTTACAGTTTTCTCTGTGAATTTCAATCACGAAAGATGAGAAGATAGCCATTCAAGAAGTTGAATGAACTCCAAACAGGATAGACCCCAAAGTAAACCATCAAGACATATCATAACCAAACTTTACAAAACCAAAGACAAGGAAAACATCTTGAGAGCAGTTTGAGAAAACGAAAAGCTACCTACAAAGGAGAACCAATTAGACTAAGCTCTGATTTCTCAGCAGAAACCATGCAGACAAGAAGGCAACGGGATGACATATAGAAAACTCTGAAAGAAAAATATTATCAACCAAGAATAATATACCTGTCCCTCAAATATGAGGGCGAAATTAGGATATTTTCAGATAAACAGAAATTAAAGGAATTTATAATAACCAAGCCATCTTTACAAAAAATACTAAAGGCTGTACTTTGGACTGAGAACCAATAACAGCAGACAGCAACCTGAGATTAATTTACATAACAACACCAACCAGAACTCAATCCAGATTTAGAAGTATTTAAAGTAAAAGAAACCAACAAGACTGAAAATAGGGAACCAGAGAGATCAATTTATAATGAAGTTAACTACAAAGCAAAAAGAGGGAATTGTTTAGATACAGAACTTCCAAATGGAGAGGAAATCAAGTAAATTTCAAGATAAAACAGATGGTTTTAAATGGGAAAAAATAATAAATTCCAGGGCAGTCTCAAAGAAAATTAACATGCCTTCACATAAAAATAAAAAAGAGGAAAATCAGGAAGATTTAGCCAACAACAGTAATGAAGAAAATGAAAAGAAAACCCACAAACAAAAGGAACTCAGTGCAGAAATTTATGTGGAACAAAGAAACTTGAAACATAAAAGGAAAAAAAAAAAAAAAATACACAGCAAAAAATTCACAGCTAATGATAATTACACTGAATGTAAATGGATTAAATGCACCAGTAAAGAGACAAAGTTGCAGAATGGATACAAGCTTTGGTACATACACACAATAGAATACAATGTAACATTGAAAAAACCCCCGACAAATCCATGAAACACCTCATCACATGGATGGACCTGGAGTACAGTTAATCACAGAAGGACAAATGTTGTATAACCATTGTAAAGAGTTAAGAAAATGTTTTCTTGCTAAAAGAAGCATCCTATGATGGCTACCAGGGGTAGGAGGGAAGGGAACATTAGTCATTGGGTAGAAGGTAAGACACGTGTTAACTTGGATGGTAGGGAAGACAATATACAACAGGAGGGATGTTGGCACAGGAAAGATGAAGGTAGTGAAAGACACAGGGAGCAGCACAACAGGTACAATGAATAGAGGTAAATACTGTTAACTGATGGTGCATGGAAGGGATTGCAATCATTGTAATGACCCAAAGTACATGGTTTGTTGACTGTGGGATTGATGATCTGTTCTGTAAACCTTTACTCAATTCACAATAAAAATTTAAAAGAGAAGGAATGTAAGGAGAGGAGCCAGGAGGAGAAAAAGGAGGAAAGGAGAGAAGGAAGACAGAAATTGGAGATAGTGAGTGTAGATTATTTAGTAATGAAACACACGGGTCAAGAAGATTTTGTGTCTTTTTAGATGGGAGAAATTATAGCGTTTTTCTGTGCTGATGACAATAATCCAGTAGAAAAGGAAATACAGGAGAGAGAGAAGAAAATTTCTGGAGGGATCTCTCTAGCCTTGTCCCAACTCCAAACTAATAAAAGTTGTCCTCTTTAAGGGAAGATCACAGAGACACTGGCAATGGAACAGGCTGGGCACAAGGTATAGATATCTGCATCCTGGTCCTTAATCTGTCCCTTACTGCCAGTGGGACTCTGATCCAACTCCATAAACCCCAGAGCTCATGTAAGTAAGGTCTGCCTCCCTCCCTGACTTGTGGTGGAGAGTCAATGAGGCAATAGGTACGAAAGTGCTTTGTAAAATGTGAAGGGTGGAATTTATGGTTGGGATTATTTTTAGTATCCTAATAATGATAGGGTTTATTTAACAAATTTAAGGGATTACTGTTAATCCAGTCCCATTTATGTGCTCACCTCCCTCTGGAGCCTCACACACTTGCTGGGACTTGACCTGATAAATCAACTCAACTCAAACCCTCCGCAGATGCTCACCTCCCGCTCTTCTTCAGCCTCTTCTGTCCCCAGGCACAAGCTGCCCTCTCAGGCCTCCCCAACTGTGACCCTCTTACTCTCTCCTAGCTAGATTCCCCACCTGTACTTTAAATGGACACTTTTCTTTTGAAGGCATTGCCTGTAGGAAAAAGTTCGGATCCAAGAGCTAGAGAAATTAGTGTCTAAGGGCCATCAGGGTCTCCTGATTAGTGTCTAAGGGCCATCAGGGTCTCCCTAGAAAGTAGGACTTGCAAGGCTAATACCAGAAAACTCCTGGCTAAAACTTCTGGTTTTGACCAAAGCCACACTTGGTTGATTTGCTATCTTCTTGCAGGAAAACCTTAGATAAATCACTTAACTTCTCTAGGGTTCAGTTCTGTCAACTATAAAAGGAGAGACTTGGAATCTCACTAAATGATCCCTTTGTAGTCCCTTCCAGCTCTCAAATTCCAAACCTGGAAGTAATCTATTTATCCCACAAATATTTACTGAGTGCCACCGGGCACCACACTGGCATCCCTCACCACAGCCTTGGGAGCTCACACACAGCAGGTGCTCAGTAAATACCTGTGGAGGAGATGAATGAATGAACCAACCACATCCCCATTTCTAGCTTGATCCCTATACAAAAGCCTTTGCTCACAGTTCTGACCTGTACCCATGTCTCCATCTCTGTACCCCTCTAGATTCAGGAATTGCTGCTAAAATGATAACATCATTCATGGACCATACAAAATTATCAACTTAAAAATTAGCCTGCTATATTTGATCAAACATTTAATAAATCACACCTAATGTGATGGCGTGTTCCATACAGTGTGACTGTAGCGTAATGGTTACGAATCGGGCTGCAAACCTTAAGGTCAGCAGTTCAAAACTACCAGCTGCTTCGCGGGAGAAAGATGAGGCTTTCTACTCCCGTCAAGATTTACAGCCTTGGAAACCCTGTACAGGGTCACTATGGGTCGGAAACGACTCGACAGCACTTAACAACAACAACAATGTGATGGTGTGGCGCTGTGGGCTAATGCATCAGACTGCAAAGTCATTTGAACTGCAAGGTCGGTGGTTCAAGCTCACCAACTGCTCCTCAGAAACCCTATACAGGGTTGCTGTGGGTTGGAATCGACTCGAAGGCACTTAACAACAACAACAAATGTGATGGCTGAAACTTCGGTTGCCTTGGAATGGCAAGACAATTTCACTGGATTTATACAACCTTTGGGCAGGACTTTCCCCACCCCTGCCTAGAGCATGTGACTAAGCCAGAACTCTGACTAGACTGAGTTGAGCTGAACATTCTAATGAGGGAGAAGAGAGTCTTATTACTGTTCTCACTAACAATGCACGCTTACATTGGTACACCCCTCCCTAAGAAGATGGCAGCAAACAGGGTCTGCCTACCTGAGTGGATCTTGAACATCACCATATTCACATGCTTAACTACCTGAGCAAAGGGCCTGGGCTGGGCTGCTTGAGGAAGGTGTCTAATTTTGGTCACCCCTGCCCCCTCTCAGTCCATCCCACCTAGTCTCAGACTGAAAATGGACCTCAGGAGTCAGACTATCCACTTTCTAGAGTGCTTAATGACCTTGGGCAAGTGATTCAATATTTCTGAGTTTTGGTTTCCTCATTGTAAGCTAATGATAGCCATACCATACCAGTTACTGCTTAGTCAGTGGACTCCAGCTCATGGTGACCCTATGTGTGCAGAGTAGAACTGTGCTACAGGATTTTCACAGCTGTGACCTTCCCAAAGCAGATTGTCTCTGGGTGGGTTTGAATCACCAACCTTCTCATTAGTAGCCACGCACCTAACTGTTCACGCCACCCAGGGATCCTATGAAAACAACAGTACCTAGCTAATAGATTTATGGTGAGGATTAATTGCACATGGAAAGTTTGCTTGGGAAGAAGCAAGTGCTCAGTAAATATTAGATATCACTGTTACTTTCATCATAATTATCATCAATTCTCAGCTGTCAAGACTGAGAACAAAACGAACAAGTTCGGTCTAACTGTGTTTCTCAAGAGGGACTTGGAAGCTCCCTTGTTCCATGAAGCCTTACCAGATCACCCCTAGTAGAGCAACTCTGTACTTGGTCCATGTGGCTAGGACACCTCCAGTCCCCTACCCCTTAATAAGCAGTGTTGATTGTCCCCAGGAGGGAGGGGTTCCTCTTGCCCAGCTCTGTCTCTGTCTAAAGCTTCAATCCTGTGGTTAAACCCTTCCTTTCCACCTTCCCAGGCCATCTGGTCTGTCTTGGAGACCAGATTGAATTCCCTGGACACAGCACTGAGCCCAGTCCAGAAAACAGTGGTTCAAAGGGGTCCAGGGAGGAGGGCTGTGAGGAAGACAGGGATGATGAAGGGACCTGGGGAGACAATTGGAAGACTGAGAAGGCAGAGCCCTTAGGGAGTCACACTCACCAACGTAAAGACACCTGCTCCCAGCACTGCGTACACTGCGTGGAGCCAGGGCACCTGTGGGGCAGAAGTGAATTGGGCTTAGAGATGGTGAGACCGGGCAGTGGAACAGGGAGTGAAGAGTGTGTTCAGTCCAGAGACTGGAGGATGTGCGATAGTCCTTCCTCCCCATCAGGAGCCCCCCTCTCTCACCATCCAGACCTGTCCAAGAAGACCTAAGACCCAGCAGGGTCCTTGAGTCTTTGATGCTCACAGCGGGTAAGGGGAGACCCATGTGGAGACCCTGCAGGGAAACCCCCATCTGACAGGGAGACTCCCCCTGAATGCACAGCCCCGGGCTCAGTCAGACGAGCATGACTATCCCTTTGGGGCTGTCATCCTCCCAGCCTGGTTCTGGCTGCTTGATGTGTGATCATCCCTGTGTAGTAGAGGGTCTGTTTGTCCCTCTGTCTGGGAGCTTCAAGGTCCAGTCTGTAGGGACAAGGGGCTCAAATGGAAGGGGACAAAGACTTGAACCCCTGCAAGTTGCGTACAATGAGTTGCCTACAGACGCTGAAGCAGCGCCCCTTCCCCTCCTCTTGCTCTCCACCCCCAGATCTCAGGGGCACCTAGCTATGTCTGAAAGCTTCCCTACCAGGCCCTCCACCAGGTGTACTCCCAAAAGATTCCTGGAAACTCAGGCATCCCATCAGCCTGACCTGGGTTAACAAAGGATTCTTTGAAGTTCGGGGGTGGTGGTGTGGGGTGGGGTGGTGGTGGTGGTGGTGCCCTTCCCAGTAGCCACCTCCCTATCCTAGACACACAAAGGCCCCAGGCCAGCTCCGGCCCCTCCCTTCATCAACAGGATCCTGAGAAGAGCCAAAGAAATGCCAGAACCAATCCTGATGTCCTGGACTGGAAGCCAAATGCCTGGGGGCTGGGGCTGGTCAGGATAGGGCAGAGGAGGGGGGTGAGGAATGCTGCTCCCAGGGGTGGTTGGGGAGCCTGTGCTAAATGTGGCTAAGAGTTGGGGTGGGTTTGAGCTGAGGGACCTCTCTGCTCTGTCCACTGAGCCCCCAGCATGGGTCTAATAGTTCCCTCTGAGGCTCCCCAGGACTTAAACCTCAAGCCCTTCCTGTGATGTTCTCATATCCATCTGCAGTGACCTAGGGCTCCCAAAATGGGTCACTTGTCCCTCCAGGGTGGGCTGTACACCTCTAAGAGAATCAAGATTTGGTGGGTCCGTGGCTGTTCTAACGGGCAGTGCTATGCTCAAAGTCTGGCTGGCAAGCCACGTTCTGCCCTTTGACCTTGGCAGGTCCTCCAAGGGTCCTAGAAAGTCTTTCTTGGGACCCCTTTGGGCCTGGTTGGAGTGCTCCCTCCTCTGCCCACCCTCAGCCTCACCCCCTACAAGAGGAGAGGCTGGGAAAGTTGAAGCCGGATATGGCTCTGGGAGCCAGGCAGGTGCCCAGGCCTGCCAAGAAAAGCTGCCTTGTTTGTTTAGCTCTGAGGTTGCCTATACAGTCAACACGCCTGTGGCAGGTGCCATGAGGGGCAGACAGGACAGACGGCTGTGGAGCTTTGGCCCTAAGCCTTCCTGGAGGGAAGAGCATCTATATTTGGTAGCCCTCTCCCTCTCTCCTCAGGGAGGTCCGCGAGACTTACATATTGGAAGGGCAGGAGGATGGCCAGAATGAGCCCACTGAAGAAGAGTGTCATGAGCAGCACGAAGAGCACACCTTGACAGGAAGTGAAGTCAAACTGTGGGGACAGGATGGTGTCAGCTGCTGGCTCCGCAGGCCTGCACAGAGCGGCTTGGCGTTTCTGAGGGCCCCAGCCCGGTAGTGTGCTGGCCAGAGACTCAGCCTCAGAAGCTAGCATTCCTTCCTGCCCTCCCCAGGTGGCCTCCCCAGACCCAGCTCACTCCTTTACCTCTCCCAGGCCTGGGCCAAGCTTGGTGCTTCCCCCCATTCTCCACCCCCACCCCCAGCCTCAGGCTGCAGGTCCCAGAGCTGACCTTGGTCTGGAAGCTGAAAATGGTGACTGAGAGGCAGACGAGGGCTGTAATGCCCAGGCACAGCAGCACAGATGTGGTGTTGTAGTAACTATAACATCAGAAGGCCAAGGGTCAGCTTCTAGGTGGCCTCAGGCCTCCCATAACCGTCGTCACAGACCCACTTGTCTTCTGCCAGGACCTGATTCCACAATCTCTGGTCCACCTCTAGCCACTTTTATCCCTGCTCTCCACTCTATCCCCAGACTTTCCCCTGGACCCCTTCCCCAACAGGCTTACACTAGAAGGATCTTTAACAGGTGGGAGAGGGAGCACCAGAGCAGGGGTAGAAGGTGGTTCGGATGAGTCTGGGGTCTTTTAAGCAGCAGTTTGAGAGGTGTCACCTTGTTCTCCACCATCCCCACCCCTACCCCACTGCCTTGGCCAGGTCCTAGGGTCACTGTCCAACTGAGTGCCTGAGGAAAGGCTCCGGACCAGTGTTCCCTGTCTGCCTGAAACATCTCCCCAGATCCGGATGGTCCCAGGAGAGACAGTGTTTGGGGACATCTCCTCTCAGGGTGTAGCCAATTCCTGATTTCCAGCCTAGCCTATGTCCCCTTCCCCTCCCATCTGTTCCCCTTACCTGGACAACATCCCAGTGAGGTAGGCCATGGACAGGGTCTGAAAGAAGAAAGGGTAAAGGAATGCTACCAGAACTCAGACCTTGGGGGTCAGCCTGGGTCTCTACCCTCTGCATGTTCCATCAGCTTTGGTTCTGCACCCGATTACTTCTAGGACTCAAATCTGGTTGAGGAGTATCCTAACAGACCTTATGTTAATCTTTTTCTTTTGCATCCCCGCTCTTCCCTCCTTTCTAGGCTCCTCCTCTCCTTGATTGTCCTCAGTTCTATACAAGCCCCATACAAACCTTACAAACAAAATGATGAAGAGTGACAATGTGGGGGTGGGGGTGGAGGGAGAGGGAACATTTTTGCAGAAAAACCAAAATGGAAACCCACTGCCATTGAGTTGATGGCAGCTCATAGTGACCCTACAGGACAGAGAAGAACTGCCCAGTAGTGTTCCCAAGACTGGAATTCTATGGAAGCAGATGGTCATGTCTTTCTCCATGGACTCACTAGTGGATTCAAACTGTTGACTTTATGGTTAGTAGCTGAGGGCTTCCACCACTGTATTGACAGGGTTCTTTCTTTGCAGCCCAGTGTCATGGTTGCTTCCAACCCGTAGTGACCCGGTATGACAGAGCAGTACTGCTCCTTAGGGTTTCTGTGACTGTAGATCTCTACAGGAGCAGATTGTTTCATCTTTCTCCCCTAGAGTGACTTGTGGGCTTGAACTGCTGACCTTGTGGTTAGCAGCCCAATACCTAATCCACTGTACCACCAGGGCTCCTACCCTTGGCAGAAACAACAAATTTACTGCCATCGAGTCATATTTGACTCACAGCAAGCCTGTAGGGTTTATGAGACTATAAATCTTTACGGGGTAGTGGTTATGAATCGGGCTGCAAACCGCAAGGTCAGCAGTTCAAAACTACAGCTGTTCCGTGGGAGAAAGATGACGCTTTCTGCTCCCATAAAGATTAGCCTCGGAAACCCTGTACAGGGTCGCTATGGGTCGGAACCGACTCAACGGCACTTAACAACAACAAAATCTTTACGGGAGCAGAAAGCTTCATTTTTTTTCCTGAGGAGCTGCTGGTGGGTTTGAACTGCCAATGATGTGGTTGACAGTCCAATGCTTATCTTACTGTGTCACCAAGGTTCTCTGTAGAAGTGGGTGAAAATACTCCTGGCCCCAGGGATGTCAATTAGACACACCCAACCCAGATTATCTGGCTATCAAAAAACCCCAGCCCCTTTCTCCCCCCAGCCCCCTCCCCCCTCCCCATGACTTACAAAGACAGTCAGGAGAATCAGGTTCCAGGGGAAATACCTCCTGTAAGACAAGCCAGGGTTCAGGGGAGAGTGGGCGGGGTCAGAGGCTGCAGGCTGCTTTAGTGCAGCAGGAAAGGGATCTCTGCCTGGCCCCATCCACAGGCAGAGCCTCTGTCAGCCTCATTCTCATGTGCTTCATCTGTCCCTGTCTGTCTGTCCCCCTCCCCATTCTGCCGTCCCTGCCCCCTCCCCCGCCCACCTTGGAGGTGCCGAGTGAAGGAGGGAGGGGCCAGCATACTCAATAGAGGCCCAGAGAGGGATGGGATTCTTTCAGGGGGGCACAGCGCACTGGTGATAGGCAGGGCTGGGGCAGAGCTTCCAAGGTCCTGCTCGTGTTCCCATGAACCATCATCATACCTGGGTCCAGAGCAGCAGGCCAAGGTCAGGTAGGTCACAAAGAACACAGCGCTGAGAGAGACGGATGAATGGGGTGGTCAGTGGTTCCTTCTGAGGCTCCTTCACCAACCTTCCCCTGATCCTCCTACTCTGCCACCCCAGCCACAGGGCAGCCAGGAGGGTGAATAGAGTGGAGGAGAGGAGAAGGTTATCCTAGCAATGGGCAGAGTGGTGGTCCAATTGTAAAAAGAGAGGAAGGGGATAGCTGTTTCAAGAAATAGTGAATCTTGGGTGCCATGATTCTTTAACCACCCAAACCGAAGTGGCTCCACAGACACGTAAAACAAAAAACCTGTGTTCAGTGTTTTCTATGTGCCAGCCACAGTTCTGAGTGCTATGCAAATATTAACTAATTTTATTCTCTCATCTTCTCTAGGAAGTACAGTCATTCCTCAATATCCTAGGGGGATTTGTTCCACGACCCCTTTGGATATTCAAATCCACAGATGCTCAAATTTCTTATATCAGGTGGCAAAGTATTTGCATATAACCTATGCACATCCTCCCGTATACTTGAAATCATCTTTAGATTACTTGTAATACCTACTACAATGTTGTTGTTGTTAAGTGCTATTGAATCTGTTCCGACTTATAATGACCCTGTATAGAGTTTCCAAGGCTCTAAATCTTTGAGGGAGCAGAAAGTCTTATCCTTGTCCCGAGGAGCAGCAAGTGGGCTTAAACTGCTACCTTGTGATTCACAGTCCAGTGTTTTATCGTATGGAGCTACTGCACTCCCTAATAAAATATAATACTATGTGAATTGTTAGGCTTTGAAGGATTGCTATGACCACTTAATTTTTTTTTACAGAAACAAAGGGTGCACACCATACAAGTAGCTAATGAAGGAGACACGAGTAATAAAAAGATTCAAATGCTAGAGAGAGACTGAGGTCTGTGAAATGATGAGAGACTACAGCAGGGTCTGCCTGCATAGCACTTCATTTGTGTAGGTTCAGCCTAGAGGAAAATTCAAGTTTTACTTTCTGGAATTTCTTTTTCAGAATATTTTCAATCCATGGAACCCTCGGCTAGAGAGGGCTGGCTGTATGCTCTTCACGTTACAGCTGATGCACAGAGAAGTCAGGAGACTTATCCAAAGTCCTGCATGGCAAAAGTGAGATTAGAAAAGGTTACTTGGCTCTGTTGTTCTTGTTGCTAAGTACTGTTGAGTCAGTTCTGACCCATAATGACCCTGTATAGGGTTTCCGAGGAATGGCTGGTGGGTTTAAACCACTGAACTTGTGGTTCAAACTGACCTTGCAGTCCAGCACATTATCCCACAGTGCCACTTGATTATAGCTGCTACTCCACACTGCCTCATTCATGCTCTTCACATCCCTTTTTATTGCCTGCAACTATCTTGTTAGTTACTTTATTGTTGGCTTGCCCACCTAGACCATAAGGTCAACAAGGGCTGGGCACTGGTCTGTCCTGTTAGCCTGGCACAGAGCAGAAAGTGACTGTGGAGTGAATTGCCAGGTCAGTTGACAGTGTCCAGTGGGAAGCTGGGAGGAGCTCATGGGCAGTCCAGAGACAGAATTTGAGGATTCTGGATTTTATGGTGAGCAGTGGAGGTCTGAGGCCAGTGTGGGAAGTAGAAGATCAGGGTTGAAGACAAAGGATGGGCTATGCCCACATCTACTCAGATTGGTGCCACCACCAGTGCATGGTGTCCAGCCCCCTGGTAGGCCCTTAACATGGCCTTGCCATCCTTCCCCTTCTCAATTCTCTCAGCAATCCCCATGGGAGAAAATCCAGACTTCCTCTCCCATCGGCAAACCTCCCAGGCACCTCACTCTTTTGTACATCCTGATGATGTGTCCCAGAAAAATTACAAATGATGAGGTGGAGCTCCCCCATGAATCACAATTACGTGTTTTCTAGTCCCTCCGCCCATCCTAGGCCAAGCCTCCGGACCTGGGCTCTGAGTCCCAGTCCTCAACTGCCATGACAATCTCTAATATCTTCAACCTTTCCACTCCCCTCCCCACAAACTGCTTTGCTGTCTTACATCTTCAACCAACATCTTCCCTGGCTCTAGCTACTGTCACTTTTTCCTCTCTCACAGCCAAGTTTCTTAAAAGAGTTGTCTCCACTCACTGTTTCCTCTTCCCCATCTTCCAGCTATTCCTCAACTCAACAAATCCAGTCTCAAGCCCACGTGATGAGAGCTGGTTTTGCCATGTCACCGTGACCTTGCTAAGTCCAATAGACACTTGTCAGTCCTTAACTTACTTGGCTTCTAAGCAACATTTAATCTCTCCAACTTGTCTTCTGAACAACATTTAATGTTTCCCCTGGTTCCACCATGACACACTCTTGGGGTCCTTCCCACCTCCCTGGCCATTCCTCTGTGTCCTTCAGGGCGTCTCTGAATATGCCTGGTTTCTTTAACACAGGGTCCTGACTGGGCTCATTTCTTTTCACACTCTCTTGGGAAGTGGGGATCACTCATTCACAAGACTTCTTTGATCAGGCAAATGTTCATAAATCACACCCATATTTCTAACCTAACTTTTTCTTCTCAACTCCAAACCCAACAATGTAACTGCCTATTGGGCAGACCTGGTTATTCTGAACCCTGTATAATTCAACAGGTCAGAACTGAACTCTCCACCTTCTCTGCCCTTCTCCTTCATTCTCTTTTGCTGAGGACCTCATCCATCCACAGAGTCAGCCAACCAGAGATCTCGGATCCCCTTTGACTCTCACCCTGTTGATCTTCCTAATTGAGCAGCTCTCAAATCTGTCCCTTTCTCTCCATTCTTATTACTCCCACTTTAGATGGGTCCTAAACTGTTGCAGGAATCCATCTAGTCCTCTGCCCTACAGCCCTGCCTTCTACCCTCCAAGGTGCAGGTAGATCCGATCACATGACTTTCCTGTTTAAAATACCTGAGCTCCCTCTCCAGCCCACCTAGATCATGGTCTGACCTTTTCTTCACCACACCCTCTACACTCTCAACATGTCCTCTACACAATGTTCCTGTCTGGGAAGGACAGTTTGGCAAGGACATTGATGCCTGGGCAAGAGGGGCTTACTTGAAGCCTGCACCTCCATACCCTGCAGGCCTGTTCTTCCGACTCTCCACCAGGTTGGATATCTATGAGGCTAGCCTGTGATGTTTATTTTGTATTTCCAATGTCTAACCTGGTGTCTGGCACCTAGTAAAGAAGGGAAAAAAGCGAGAAAGAAACGCAACAAGAAACAAACCCGTTTCTGTCAAGTTGATCCCAACTCATGGTGACCCCCATATGTTGCAGAGAGCTGGCCTGTAGGGATTTTTTGTCTATTATTTTATGTTAGCAGACTTTCAGGTCTTTTCTTCCACAGTGCTGCTGGGTGACTAAACAACCTTTCAGTTAGTTGTCTAGCACAAACTGTACCATCCAGGACCTGGACACCTGGTTGTTGTGGTGGTTAAGTGCCATGGAGTCAGTTCTGACTCATAGCAACCTTGTATAAGGTTTCCAAGGAGCAGCTAGCTGGTGAATTTGAACTGCTGACCTTGCGGCTCAAACTGACCTTGTGTCCAGTGCATTATCCTGCAATGCCACACCAGGACTCCAGACACCTGGTAGGTACTCTTTAAATATATGCTGAATGCAATGTTACATAATGCCATAAAGTTGGGCATGTAGGGGTTGAGATAAGTCCATTACTTTTGGTGAGCAAGATCCCTCTATTTTAACTTATTCTTATTCTTCAGTCTCTTCAATGACTCCCAAATAAGGGGAGCTATTGTCACAGTGATTGGGGTTGGGGAGTTCTATTGTTGTCTAGTGCTAGGGAACAGGGCTCTAAACATACTACTCCATGTGGGGCTGTATGATTGTCCTATGCAAAATGCCAGCAGAGCCCTGGTTGAGAAACACAGGCATCTTCACTCTTCTGACTTCACTTGGTCGCTGGTCAGTCACTTCAATAACAATAATAATATCCTTGTGTGCTGGGTGAGGGTCCTGTCACCCTGACTAAACTGAAAGCTTCCTCATGACAAGGTCCTGGTCTCCTTTTCACTCTGGTTCATATCTCCTCGGGAGGATGGGCAAAGGGATAGAAACCAGGGGAATTATGTTACGGTGAGTGGTTAGGACAAACTTTAGAGCCAGACAAGCATGCATTCAGGCCCCAGCTCTCCCATTAGTACTGTGGGACCTTAGGCAAGTAACCCAATTGCCGAGCCCCAGTTTCCTCATGTGTAAAACTGGAATAATGGTACCAACTTACTTGGATGTTGGGAGGACCAAAGGAGACATGCATATTTAGCATAGGGCCTGGCACAAAGTAAGGAAGGGCCCAGCCCTGGAGCTGTTATTCCAATTAGAAGCTGGCTTACTGACAGCTTCCTGGAAAGGCTCTGGTGCACCTCTGCCCCAGCTCTTGTCACACACTCTGCCCCATTTTTGTCTCACCCCCCCAGTCCTTACTCCTTCCCCGTAGGGAGCCCTGAAGTTCCTGCCACAGCTCAGTGGGAACTATCAGACAATAAGGTGAAAACCCACTGCGGGAGCTGACAGAGGCCTTGAGAAAGCAGAAGAGGAGGCTGCCATCCCAGGAGGTAGAGAATGAGTCACAGAACAAGTTAAAGTCTGACTTGCACGTCACAGGCTGAGATGGAGTCACAGGATGTTGACAGAGTGTTTGGTAGTTGTGTAGGGGGTAACGGGGGGTGGGGGGTGAGGCTTAAGTGAAGGCCAGCTTCCAAACCTAATGTCCTGTCCCCCCTTGTCCTGATCCAGGACCGGGTCACGGGCCTTGGGGGAGGCAGCAGGGTACAGAGGGATGCAAAGTCTCTTTGCAACACAAAGATCTGGGTCTCAGTTGTGGTGGCTAATGCTGCTTAGGAAACCATAACTGCTCTCTGAGCCTCAGTTTCCTCATCATAAAAGAATAGAGTTTCTGCCTAGGATGGTGGTTGTAAAGATCATACACCAATATGCAAAGTGTATACCACAGTGCCTTGCTAACATGAACAAAGCTGCTTTATTCTTAGTGCTATTATTGTTACTCTAAAAAGACTGAGTCCTAGAGGACACTCAGTGTGCTGGACAAGGTGAGACCCTAGGACTGACTCCAGACACACTCAAGGAGGTAGAATGGATTGAGCTGATGGGCAGGGATGGGTCAAGCAGCCCCATTAGGTAGGCTTCCTGGAGGAATAGAGCAGTATCCTGGTGATGAAATTCCCAAAAAGCACTCCAACCTTTACCAATCCCCAAGTCAGAGAAGGGAAAAAGGACTCCACATCTTGCCATTGATTCTCACCCTACCCTATGGGGTGGGCTCTGCTCATTTATGGGTTGTCTCCCTTTTCAAATGCATGGGATCCCACCGACCCTCCCCAGAAGGCTTGGAGAAGGGCCCAGGGACTTGAGGCTGCCAGGATTTCTGACGTGCCAGGAGCCATGCCAACCTGCCATGTGAGCTGGCTCTCAGCACAGTCCCTGAGGACTCATTAGCGTTACCAAACCTTGCCTCCTGTTCCCCAAGGCACATGCCACCCGCCTGGTCTGCAGACAGCCCTCAACCCTGCACCCTAAGAAAGGCTCTGAGTGTAAATGTGCTGTCTCTGAACCTTTGAATAACCTGACCAAGCCAGCTCTGCTCCTCCCAGAAGCCTCAGAGGCCAGAACGAGTTGACTTTGTTCATCTTTGGCCACTTGTGTGAGCTCCAGGCATGTTTTAGGACCACCCTGAACTCGGGTAGTTCGGCAGTGGAGCCACCTCCCTACCAACTCCCCTCCAGGAAGTGGCCTAGGAGAGTCTTGACTGGTCATTCATGGTGGTTGGTGGTTATGTGCTGTCTAGTCGATTCCAACTCATAACGACCCTGTACAGGGTTTCCGAGGCTGTAAATCTTTACAGGAGTAGAAAGCTTTATCTGTCTCCCGCGGAACAGCTGATAGTTTTGAACTGCTGACCTTAAGGTTCGCAGCTCGATTTGTAACCACTACGCTACCAAAGCTCCTTCATAGTCTCCACTACTTAAGCCCCACTGCCTTCCTGGATGTCCCAGAATTCTCCATTGGAAGTTTCCAGCCCTCAGTGTAACAATTGTACCACCTCCTGGCCCATCTTTATGTGAACTGAATGTTCTGGTAGCCAGGTCTCACTCTTTCCCTCTTTTGCCATCTTCCCAGTGGCCCCAGGACAGCGCTGGGCACACAGGGGGAGACTGCAACCATAGCAGTTCAGTTTTGAGCCCTAGAATGGTTCTGGTCTGGAATTATCCAGAATTACTCCTGAATTGCCCAGACAGGATGATCAGAATCACTTACATTTCCAAACCTCTTCACCCAACTTATCTGCCATGCTCCTTAAAAAGAGTATGTTGTTGTTGTTAGTGATGTCGAGTCCGTTCTGACTTGTAATGACCCTGTGTAGTGTTTCCGAGGAGCAGCTGGTGAGCTTGAACCAGCGACCTTTTGGTTCAAACCGACCTTACAGTCCAGCACATTAACCCACAGCACCACTCCAGGACTCCTTGAAGAGTATAGGACAAATAGAAGCCAACTAACCCAAAGGCTAAAGGGTGCCAACAGAACAGCATGGTTAAGAGCACAGGCCTTAACCTGAATCCTGGGCTCTGATCTCAGCTCCACCACTGACCAGTTGTGTGACGTTGGGAAAATTACTCAACCTCTCAGAGCCTCAGGTTTCTGAGGTAACCATATAAGAAGAGTTGAAGATAGAATGCCATACTGTATATACATCAAGTGCATAAATCAATGCCCAGCCCTTATTAGGCACTCTCTAAGTGGTAGTTATTATGATTAGTAATTCACAAGCATTAATATATATAACAATATTAATAGGAGTAGCAACATTATTATTAGTGTGGGCCCCTTCCATTCAGGGACAATGTGGGGCCCCTGCCTCACCCTTTTTTCTCTGTTCCCTACCTTCTCCCTTACCCCTGAGTCTTCAAACCCAAAAAGGATCTTCTGGACATGTTCTGAAGTCAGCAGAACTGAGGCAGCTGAGGACAGTCCCTACAGATTTGGGGGAGGCCATAGACTTGGAGTCTGTCAACAGAGCTCCTTCTGGTGGTCCTCTGAGAGGAGACCTGGGGAACCGAGCCATACTTACTAGGATGCCCAGTACCAGCCTGGGTTGGCCTGGACATAGTTCTTGACAGGGTCACTGCAGAAAATAGAGGGACAGAGTCAGAAATTACTCTCAGTCTCTATTTCAGTTCAACATCTGCCCTGCCTCAAACCATTCATGGAAGAAAGAAGGAATGTAGTCCCTGGGAGCTCAGGGGGTCCCAGATCTCAGCCCCAGGCAGTGGGCACCTGGAAATGCCTCGTATTGGGCTAATGGACCTGAGAGGGGTGATGCTTCAAAGACACCGAAGGGTCCACAGGCACAGACCCAGAGGCAAGACCTCGGCCTAATATGAATGAAGGACTTCTCACCCGTGTGCACTCTGAGGTTCTTACTCACACAGGGGCTTTCTTTGGGCCCACTGCCCAATTTCTTATGTGCCCCTGAACAAATTTCTTTCAGATAAGCACTCTAAAAGAAGCATGATTCTGGTCCCCCTGCCCAAGTCTGGCCACTGCCGCTCTTAGAAGGTTCCAGTCCATACTGCCAACTCACCAAAAGGTAAAGAGAGCCACGACACTCAAGGTCAGCAGCAACTGGATCAGCAGGATGGTGTAGACCTGTGGGTAGAAAGGGGTTCCACTCAGTTTGCAGAGCCCTGTGAGGCCAGGCAGACTCAGCACCCTAGCGAGGAGCCTTCAGCCTCCCAGTGACTTCATCTACTTTACTTCAGATCCATACCATCTTTCTAGGGGGTCACTGAAATGGAACCAGGATGAAAGGGGGAAAAAGATCCCTCCAGAGCCCACACCCACGGGAAAGAGGAGGCAATCTGCTTAGGCCACAACAGAGATACTAAGGGAGGACAATGGAGGTATCCTCAGGTGGGTGTTGCCAGTTGGGATTACAAGAGAAGGGAGAAGGATGGACCCTGAGCAGACAGAGCACTGGGCCAGGGGCTGCTCACAGGGCTCCTTGCAACCCAGTCTTTCAATTCTGGAGAGCCGGGAGAGGCAATTACCTTTCTGATAAAGACTCGACGAACTTTCTGGTCATCCCAACTGAAGGTGGTAAAGTGTTCAAGGCCTCCGACAGGGAAACCGCTCTCATAGTTAGAGCTGCCTGGGGTGGGCAAGAGAGGGGACTGTGACCGAACCCTGTATACAGCAATATAGCCCCAAAGGTCACTCAGAGCTGTTCTCTGGAGCCGCTGAAGCCCTTTTCTCCAACCCCATTCTCAAGCTCACACCCCATCCCCAGATCCTTCTCTGGTCACCTCTTGCTTTTCCTGCTCTGAATCTTGGGAATGAACTCTCATCTCCCCTCTCCCAACCCTAACCAGGGGCCAAACTGCTATACAAATGTGACCTTTTCCATCTAGTTCCCCACCCCATCTCATGGACACCGGCTTCTTTGTGACAGGAATCAAAGATCAAAAAGGGACATCCACTTTCCCTGGACCACCTAGCATAGTCTCAGGTCCTGGCCAAAGGTCCTGACCTGAACCCATTCTGGGTTCCTTGAGGTGGGGTCTGGGGCTAGTTGGATGTGGAAATGTGAACAGAAGACGGTAGAGCTTCAGCTTGCAACCAGGACTGTGGGGAAGTCTGGGAGGAGAAATCAAGCCAGAACAGGGGTGAGAAATGAGGATGTGGGTACGATGAAGATTTGAGTTCTGGTCCCAGAACTCAGATTTTCAGACAGACTCAAATGTGGATTTACCGATTATGTGACTTTAAGTAAGTCACATAAAACAAACAATAAAGTCATAAGTCCCACAAACCTTCTCAAAACCTCTTCTCTATGATATTGTCAGTGATAGCCACCATGTGGGGAGCGCAATGGCTCTGTAAGATAAGTACAGGACTGTGAACTAAAAGGCTGGCAGTACGAGCACATGATCCACTCCACTGAAGAAAGATGAGGTTTTCTGCTCCCGCAAAGATTTTAAAAAGCCTCAGAAACCCTATACAGGGTTGCTATGAGTCAGAACCGACTCGACAGCACTTAACAAACACAACAACATACCTTATGAGGACTAAATGGGGTAACAATGAAAGTCTGTGACTGTGTGTCTGATGGGGAGGATACTGCCCTCTGATCATCATTCCCAAGTCCTCAAATGTGCCTACTCGGTCCCTCTCTGCAGCCCTGCCAGCTCCCCATGATCTCCACCCCACCCCCTGCAGTCCTCCACCCCATCCCACAACAATAATTTCCTTCTTGGTCTTTCAAAATAAGCAAAAACTGACCAATGCACTGCTCTGCTTAGAGCTCTTGGATGGCCTCCCACTGCCCTTTATTCAATTTTAAATTCTTTACCAAAGCTTCCATGATCCAGTGTGAGCAGAGCCTTCCTGCCCCACTGCACATTCTGCTCTCCCATTTTTATCCAGTCTGAGTATTTTTTCAGTCACAAGCTCTCTTGCTTCTGTGGTTATACACATTCTATTCCTTCAGCCTTGAGCTCTTACTTCTCTGCCTCTTCACCAGGTTAATTTCTGTTCATCCTGGACTCAGCATGGGTACCCCTTCCTCCAGGAAGCCTTCCCTGATTATCAGAGTTAAGTGAGCAGGGCTTTCCTGCCCCACTGCACATTCTGCTCTCCCATTTTTATCCAGTCTGAGTATTTTTTCAGTCACAAGCTCTCTTGCTTCTGTGGTTATACACATTCTATTCCTTCAGCCTTGAGCTCTTACTTCTCTGCCTCTTCACCAGGTTAATTTCTGTTCATCCTGGACTCAGCATGGGTACCCCTTCCTCCAGGAAGCCTTCCCTGATTATCAGAGTTAAGTGATCACTGCATGCATAGCATTGTGTTGTAGCTACCTACACAGTCAGTTCTTGTTGTTGTTAAGTACCATGGAGTCGGTTCTGACTCATAGTGACCCTACAAAGGGTTTCCAAGGCTGCAAATCTTTACGGGAGCAGACTGCCTCATCTTTCTCCCGCTGAACCTCCGGTAGTTTCAAACTGCTGACCTTGAGGTTAGCAGCCCGATTCATAGCCACTACACTACAGTCAGCTCTGGGAGGGGAGAAATCACAGTAGGACTTGCAACTCGATGAATCCTCAGAAGTTAATTCAGTGTCAGATCCTTTGTACACATTTAGTAAATATTTGCCAACTGTTGACTGAAATGAGCTTCCTTCCTATTCCTATTGATGTTGTTGTTAAGTGGCTGCTGACTCTGTTCTGACTCATAGTGACCCTGTATCGGGTTTCCATGGAGTGGCTGGTGAGCTTGATCCTATCCCTATAGTTCCTTGGAAAACATTCTTTAAGGCAATCAAGATATAGGAAGTGAGGAAGGGGGAGAAAGGTGGACCCATTCCAAGCTTGGGGCCTGAAGACCCTCTCCTTCCTAGTCTGTCTACCTCCCTGACAAGTGCCCAAGTGGCCAGACCATGGAAAGGGAGAAAAGGAGAAGGAAGACAGTTCTCAGGGTTGTCTGGGACAATGAGTAGGGCTCCCACAAACTCCAGACCTTTATTGATCTTCCAGTAGTTCACAGTAGGGTAGGTATGGGCTCTGGGTTGAAGAGGTTTGTGGTAAGAGGTGTGAACCATGGTGGCCAATTCTTGCGAGCAGAGGCTCTGTGTGGGGCATTGTGCCTGGGAGCCCTTCTAGAATCTTCTTGTGGGTGGGGGTGGGGACCTGGAAGGGGAGGGGTGGAGGAAGTTGAGGGATTGGCTGAAAAGGCAGAGGAAGATCTGAGAGGGGCCTTTTCTTGTAGCTGGTGAGGAGCTGTATGTTTCCAGCCCTGAGGTAAATCTCCCCACAGGCAACTCAACTCAACAGAGGAGATCCTACCAGTTTAGGGCTCTTAGTCTACATTAATTTCACAGCCAGCAATAATTCTGCTGTGAATTATGGTGGCTATGCAGAACACTGAGGCTCTCGCTGTATTCACACACCTCTTGCATGTCTTTCTGTCCTCCCCTTAACCAAGGCCCAGGGAAGGGATTAGACAAGGAGAAGGACAGGATTCCCAGTCCCCTGACCCTCAACAACCTTGGGCCTCCAAGGGGACCAGATCATCCTAAGGTTTCAAACCAGTCAATGTGTAAACATTACCCACTCTCTCACAGCGTGGGTCCATGGGAGCCAGTCCCTTTCTAAGGCCTTGGCAGCTACAGCCTCATATTGTCTTAGCTCCCCTCCATCTCTTCTCTGCATTCCTTTCTTCTGGGAGGGCCTTTCTAGACTTGCTTTTCTCTCCCATCCATCTCCTCCATTTGCCCTAGCTCCAAACCAAAAACAACCACCGAGTTAATTTTGATTTATAGCGACCCTATATAGGGTTTCCAAGACAAAATTTTTACATGAGCAGACAGCCTCATTTTTATCTTGTGGAGCCTATGGTGGGTTTGAACTGCCAACCTTGTGGCTAACTGTCCAGTGCTTATCCTACAGTACCACCAGGACTCCTTTTGCCCTAGCTCAGTAACTTGGGAAAATGTCCTCTGCTCCATCTGAGAGCACCTTGATTGCAGACATTGTATCTCTTTCTTTTCATGGAATCCTTCTTGATCTACCCTCAGAAGAGTCCTCCAATTTCCAAGCCTTTGACAAGTGAGTATAGAGCAATCACAAATTGTGTCTCTTTCTGGACAACTTCCTCCTACCCAGCTGTTCCATCTGGACTCCCTCTGCCCCTGATGTTTAGTCTCTAGGAACAGAGAAACTTACTGGGATCCACATAGGCCCAACTGGGATGGAGAGGCACAGCCATAGGAGCTGGGGGGAAAGCCCCTGCCTTCAGCCCTTCCCCAGATGTAGCCTCTTCATAGGAGGGTGGGGCTGAGGGCACTGCTGGGGCCTCCTTCTTCTCTCCATTTGCCTGTTGCTGCCCCTCAGTCCCGGGGGTCTTGTTAGCCACGGAGATCTGTGAAGTAGACAGGGAGAGATGGTTGTCAGGGAAAGGGAACCTTCCAACCCCTCCTCACCAGCCCTTCAATGCCTGGAATGGCCCTGGATACTGGTCACACACATTAGGAGTAGAGAGATGCAGACAAGAACAGAACCCCAGGAGTTGGCCAGGATACACAGTGGAACTGAGGAAAGAGAAAATTCTGAGCAGTGTCCACCACTGGTGTTAACTATCCCTGGAAAGTTAGTGTCAGAGCAAGGACTTGGCCTGCTGGGTTATGCTGCTTCCCTGGACTCCAGGGAAGGGCCTGACACATAATTTGTTGTTTTGTTTTGTTGTTGAGTGCTATCGAGTCGGTTCTGACTCATAGCAACCCTGTATAGTATTTCTGAGAGTGGCTGGTGGGTTTGAACTGCTAACCTCTCAGTTAGTAGTCCAGGGCTTATTTTACAGTGCCACACCAGAGTTCTGGCACATATTGTTGTTAAGTGCCTTCGGTCAGTTCCTACTCATGGCAATCCTGTATAGGGTTCCTGAGGAGTGGGTTTGAATTGCCAACTTTGCAGTTAGCAGTCTAATGCTTATCCTACAGTGTCACACCAGTATCAGTACTCCCTGAGAAAATATCATTGAATGAAAGAAAGGTTCTCTCCATTAATCATATTTTGACTCATGTTTTTCTTAATTAAAAATATTTATTTATTTTGCTGTTGTTGAGAATACACATAACAAAACATACACTAATTCAACAGCTTTCTAAACGTAAAATTCAGTACAATTCTTCGAATGTGCAACTGTTCTCACTCATCTTTTCTGAATTGTTCCTCTGCCATGAACATGAACTCACTGCCTCCTAGGGTCTCTCTCTAAACTTGTGGGTGGCTATTGGCAGTTTTACTCCTTATAAATAATATATATAATTATAGGCCAATGATTCTCATGAACATAGATG